AGGGAAAGATGGTGCTAAGAATGTGGGGAAACTGGCCTTCATGATTTGTGCATAGGGATGACTGCTTTTCACTTGAGCGTGGTGACACTCATCAAATATTAGAAGGGAAATGTGATCCATCTTGATGAAACAGTGTTGTAAGTTCTGCAGAAGAATTTGCGGCGTCATAACAAGAACCTGCAGAAAATGTTTAGCCACAAGAACAAAAAGCAATTAAAAACGATTCCACGAGTCAAAGGGCAATCAATTTAACACAAATGGAAAAGAGCTGGTTAACCAAATTAAACTTTTTTCGGAAACTATACCAAACCCTAAAACTATCAGTATAATTTGCCTGCAAGTTTTAAATAAACAGAGGGAAAAAAAGTGCACACCTCCATGTTTGAAATCTCTTTCTCCCAGTCAGAATGGCTCTTCAGATGCTTGCTGCCACCACAATGCACCCCAACCTTGAAGTCCACAGACTCTGCTATGACCTGGGCTTGCTATAAAACGACAACAAACTTTGATCAGCAAGAGGGTATAAACCCGAAGAAAGAAAATGAATCATTTCGAAAATTCAGCCAGTGTACATATAACATAATAAACCTCTCTCACCTGCTGACACATACGCTTCTTTCAGGGCTACGAAACAAGTGGCCAAGTTCATATATAAGCAGCACTGCAATGTGGGTTTTCCCACAACCTGTACCCAAATACACAACAATGTTCTCCTCCGTCGCTTTCTTGCACAGCTCGAGCTGATACCTTCAAGACAAAACAAAGATACATTAATGGATGTTTCTCACTAAACACAGTACTTTCGAACACTGAAATACTGAATTCTTTTGGAACAACAACGTTTCTGATCAACCCATTTGCGTTTCTTTTCTTCTACAACAAAAGACAGACCGCTAAAAGTGCAGAATTACGGTCCGGTTTTCCACCATCAGAGAAAAATTCACAAACTTTTAAAGAATCAACGGCAACCCAGAAGGCAAAATATCTTCTTTCTTCCTCCCGAAAAACAAAAAGCTTCAAAAACGGAAAAAGATGCAACATTCAGAATCTTACTGTCTTGCTTTTCTTCTGGGATCTTTCTCCATGTTCAGTGATGGACCACTCAGAGAACTACCCACTTCGATCACAGAAGCCGTCGGCGAGGAAGAAGACGCACTGTCACCGACGGGAGCGGCTGCGGCAGAGGAGCGGGAGACGTCGCCGGAATCGCCGTCCGGCGTGTAGGAATAAGAGAGGAGCAGAGTGGAGAGCGGGAGCTGAAATGGGAAAAGTCGGTACTGTGGCAGATTATTTCACAAAATTTTCAACTTGCCCTCGAAGTATATTTCCCAAGCTGTTTGGTTTGCGGAATTTTCTCGCGTTTTCCACCTTTTTCCTGGAAAATTTCCAAGTGTTTTTTCTCAGGTAAAGCGAGCGCACAGGTCTGAATCACACGCAGAGCTCACGCCTTTTATACACAAACTCAAAAAATGTGCCATCAATGTGTTCGGAGAATTCCGGGATTTATTTCTGCATCGGTAATCGATAAATTTGGTGATTTTCCTTCGCACCATACCAAAAACAAATATTAGCTTTTAAATGCAAAAAAAAAAAAATCAAACAAACGACCAAGATTCAATGGAACCCAATTGATCCGTTACAAAAAAAAAAAAACCTAATCCTTGTACACTTGGATTGTGTCTGGTAACAACAACTGTCCGGAGCATTACACCATCCAAATTTCTTTCTCTTTCTGCAGCCTAAATAATGGAAATATTCAATGACTTTGTGTTTATCTGTCTTTTAGTTTCTTGTATTGTATAATTCTTGTATATGGAAATTAGGTTTTTTGAGGGTTTTAGGGTTTTTAGTTGTGCACATTTAGAGATAACATTGGGTTTCCTTCCTCATTTGTTATTTTGATATTTTATCATATAATCAATCAAATCCAAGGAGAGATAGACATTGCTAACACTTTTTTTTTTATTCTTAAAAAAATGGAATTCTTTATTTTTTTGTTAGATTTACACGGTGGAATAGAACGAATACATTGACTTGATTCTTACCAAAATCGAAAAAAAAAAAAATATGACCAAAAAGACCATTTGGTTCGTTTAATATCCGAACTTTTGAATTTTTTTTTATAGGTCACGAGATATTTCGAATGGTGTTCAATTATGAATCGGTACTTTTAAACCTTATATATTTAGATTAATACTCGTTCATCCTTAGAATAACGCATTTGAACCTTTTTTTGGAGGAGATAAATGGAGAAAATGGTGACTTCGAATACAAAGAAATAAAATATCGACTATGAAGGGTCGATTGATATTAGAAATTATCGAGAATTATGGAGAGATAGAATTATCTATTATAGAATATATTATTAGGCCAACCGAATGTTTTGTCTTGAATGCAAATATCATATTCATCTCTATTATTCGAAAAATCAATGAAATTTGAATTGTTTATCTTTATTCTTATACGTCATTTGGTGTGAAAGTTACTTTTTTTTTCAATGACATGTATCACGGATTCAAATTTCATTATACGGTTACGTCGTATTCACATTTTCGTATTATAATCCATATGTTTTTTGAAGGATTAATAGCGTAAAAACTTTGGTTGTGAATCATATATATAGGTGGATAAACGGTTATATTCGGTTACGGTTAATTCAAGTTCGGTTTATTCGGTTTACGGTTATTTTTTAGGTTAGGTTAATTCGGGTTTGGGTATTTCGGATTTGAAATATTTATATCCAATCGGATATATTATTTTAATTGGTTTGGTTCAGTTCGGATATATATATATATATCGGTGGGGTTCAGTTCGGTTATTTCGGGTTCAATTATTTTGTCCACCCCTAATAAATTCTGTAAATAAATTTACCTTTAATTTTTTTTTAAAAATTAAGTAGTCACCATTCGAAATTTAAAATACTTTACATTATTTTTTGTAGATTTATTTTCAATAATAATCTCGTCAATTAAGCTTTCAATTTAAGCGAAAAACATATTTTATTCATCTACTTAGAAACCAAAGAATCTTGTTTGTCAATGGATCTAACGTTACGTGGATAAAAACTAAAAGCTAACAAAAATATAAAAAAAATACAAAAAAAAATAATAATGAAGAAGATTAATTAGTGGTGCCGAGGCCGATGATGCCTTGGTCCGTAATAATCTTCATGGAACGTTGGCAGCCAATGATGCGATTTCTTCGATACGTTATGACCTATTTTCTTGATTTTACTATCTCTCAACGGCTCTTCCTTTTCCGTCGTTGTAATATCAGAATTTGAAATCACCTGTATTTATATATTCATACAAAAAAAATATTTAGATAAAAACTCTCAATCATATAATTTTTTATTTCCTCGTTTTAATGAAAAATAGAAAAAAAAATTAAATGAACAACAAAAACCATTATAATCTTCGAATGAAACTCTCTTTTTTATTTTCATGTTTATAAATGATCATGCACAATGATCAAGATATAATTTTAAATAATCTTTCAAATATACAGAATCGTATAATATATGTTTTAACAGATACACAGATTGTGATTAATTTTAAGAGTTGTGACATTGCTTTGAAGCATTTATTCGATTTACGAGTTAATGAGACACACCTTTTACGCGGCGAAGCAAGATAAACACATGAAAAATTAATGAATTTTCCGTCGAACCAACGGTCCAAATATTCATATACACTACATTATTTTTTTTGTGTAATAATATAATTTGGGCAGTGTATTTTAGGGCAAAATACAATAAAAAAAAAAACTTTAATGCTTACATTAATTTTATGATGCGAGGTTATATCTTTGACCTCTTTTTCCAATCGAATACCTGCAAAAATGACGCAAAACAACGTTTTTATATTAGTCGTTGGATTATAAATATCACAAAAATTAAAATTAAAATTTAAATAAATAACATAGAGATAGAATAAATACATACATTGAACTGATGAAAATATAAGAAATATGACCATAACAGAGATGATGAGAGGGAGTCTCATCTTCGATATACACACTCTATGTGTATGTGTATGTGTGTATGTATGTATGTGACGCGTATGTGTTCGTGTTTAACTTGATTGATCTGAGTTCTGCGTGTTTCTGATGCGTTGAAAGGTGTTTATATAGTCGTCCTTAATAAAATTCGCATAAGGAATTGGACCGACATTATTTTAATTTTCCAATGTATATTAAAAAGTATTCGATCGAATTTCACTTTCCAATAATTTTGTCGTTGTTGCTAGAAAGTGCAACTAATCCTCAACATTAAAAATCATTGTTATTAATTATTTTATTAAGGTATCCCTCTATTTAAGAAATGTGTTGTTATCTCTCTCATTTATTTATTTTTTTGTTAGGGCAAATTTCTATTGCTTCTCCATCTGTCTTTTGTTTTTTTTCCTTTGCCCTTATTTAAATAATATTTTAGGGATGAAAAAAAAGGGTTTTTTCCTGTTAAAAAGGATGAAAAAAAATGTTTTTCTTTTTCCTTTTTCCTACTCTAACATTATTTTTTAAAAAAAATATATAAAATATCCTAAACGTTTGGATCTATATATTATATATACATGTATTATATTGTTTTCTAAATCTATGCCTTTTCATTCTTAAATTTCAGAAAATTATATATTATAATTTCGAAATTGAAAACTCGAATTTGGTGGAAATGACAACCAAGAAAGGCATAAAACTTGTTTGTTTGGACTAATTTAAAAATATATATTATATGTAAAATAAATGGATGGACAAATCACACGGATCATACGTAAATGCATGATATGCAAATCTTTGTGTGTCGTAGCCTCCGCATGCAGGACGAGGATTTTCTGAATTCTGCCTTCGAGACATCGATTTTAATTTTATTTATAACATAAACCACTTTCATTTGTCGTTCTAAGATAATAATAGTAATAATAATTATAATTATTATTATCATTAATAATATATTAGATACGATGATTTGGTGAATCTCATTTCCTTTGTCTTTATAGGCACTTATGACTTAACTGAGGCTCCCCAACGAATGAACTAATTTGCATTAATAAATCAGATTAAGATTCTCTTTGCGCTTCCTAAGCTTCCGAACGACGGAGAGGGTATGAAAGGAAGAAACGACACCGTATTAGCTCGATTTCATTGGGAGTTTATTAAATCTCTTTTCATTTTATTTTTCTCCAATTCTTAGTTAATTTTCGGGTATTTTTTAATGTTTTCTTTTGATTTTTGGTCGAGAAATTAAATCTTTTTGAATGCTCATTTTATTTTTCTCTGGAAAATGATGCTACGTAGAGTTATCAAAACTATTAAGATTTTTTTTTAAAAGTTATGATATTTTTAAATCAACTTCCTAATAGTATATAAATGACTTTGAATTTCATTTTTTTTGGATAATTGATTATTTGTACCAATTAGTAGACTAATTCTAGATTAGAAAACAGTCATATGATTCAAAATATAATGTCTCTCTCCAAATCTGAGATTTGAATTCGCAGTAAAACAGATATTTTGTATTTTCGTTTCACCATTTGAACTAATTAAGTTTGAGTATAATTTTTATATTGACAAAAAGAAAAAAAATTTCCAATCATGTTAGTATATCTAATATATTTTAGAAAATTTTATAAAAATTTATAAAATTATTTTAAATATGTAATTTTTTTAAAGGAACCTCATATTTCTTTCCTTCCATTAATAATGTTAAACAAATATTTAAGATTTGCGTTCTTATATGAAGTGAAAATTACATGTAAGATTTTGGTTGCCAAAATTTTTCCTATAGTTAATTTTTAATTTTTAAAATAGAAACTATATTTCAATGTTAATAAAATTATTCGATTTTTCATATATTTATCAATCAATTATCTTAAAATAAAATGTAAAATAATTTGGATTCAAACTCATGTTTGTAGAATGAGATCATCCGAAAATTAAATTTATATATAGGTTTCATGATTTTATGAATATATACAAATATTCCACATAATTATAATTATAAAGTGTTTTTATGTTGATTAAAAGTATAAAACATTATATACTCTATACATACGAAAATATCATTGATATTTTTTTGTTAAAGAAAAATATCATTGATATTTCCTAAAATTATAAAATATTGTTAAAATTTATGTATATATATTATATAATTGCCCGTATTCTTTTTAAATAAAATCTAGATTGAATACAAAAATTTATAAATATATATTCAATTTTAAATTTTAATAACCACATTTGCGCAAATTTCCTAATCTTTTTTCACCTTTGTTTTCAAGAAAAGTTAAAAGGGAAATCAACTCCATGTTTTATTTATTTTATTTTCATTGCATGGACAAAATAAAATATGAGTTGCTTGTTTTTACAAAAGATAACCAAATTGGAAAAATCTTTTGATGAATTTTGGGGGAAAAAATTGGAAGAACCGTTTGATCTCTCTCGTTTCTGAGTCAACACGGTACAGCCATTGGAATCGTGTCTTACACCAATCATTGTTCTTCGTTCTCATTCCCGGAAAAACCCTAGCACCCCCCGTTTCTTCCCCTGATTTCAGAGATAAGCTTCTAGATAAACAAGGTCAACCCATGAAATTCTAAATCGATTCCTTCATTCCCTATTCTCGGGATCGATCTAGTCGTGTTTTTTTGGCTTCCTTCGTTAGAGCTAAGAACCCAAAAGGAATGTCGTCGGAGATTGAGGTGGTGGAAGAAGAGGTCCAATCGAATTCAGAGGAAAATGGGCAATCGAATTCGAAAGGGGTTGAAGAAGAAAGCTTGAGGAACGATGTGTATACTGCGGCTGCGTATGGAGATTTGGAGAAGCTTCATAGATTGGTGGAGTGTGAAGGTTGCTCTGTTTCCGAGCCCGATGGCCTTGGTTACTACGCTCTTCAGTGGGCTGCCTTGAACAACCGCACCGCCGTTGCCCAGTACATTATCGAGGTTTTTCTTCTTTCATTTGATTGTTCATCCCCTTTCAATCCTTTACCAAATGGTCTTTTGCTTCTTCTTTTTTCGATTAAAGATCGAATGGATTGTAAATTTCTCGCCTTTTTCATGCTTCCCGAGGTTCTGTGGAGGGTTTGTTGCCATTGGTTTTTGTGTTATTCTGCGGATATCCTATGAGTATGCGCTTTGAAGTTTAGTTTTGGTTGTGAAGTATGTGTAAGTGAATCGGGTTGTGTGGATTTGGGTTTTCCAGCATGGTGGAGATGTAAATGCCACAGATCACACGGGACAGACAGCCTTGCACTGGAGTGCTGTTCGTGGTGCCATACAAGTTGCAGAACTTCTACTGCAAGAGGGTGCTCGGGTTGATGCGGTGGATATGTATGGCTATCAGGTGACATTTCAACTACCATTATGTTTTTGTTTTTTGATGGTGATTTTACTTTGATTCCCTTTACTTGAGAGCATCACTCTCCATGCTAAGGCTCACGTTAATAACTGGCATTGCTTATCAAAACTTCATTGCAGTACTGGGGCGGTGGCTCCTCGTGAAGTCAGAGTATCTTGAGTCTTGAGTTGTTGTTAGGCGCTTTCATGACTTCCATTGTTGAAATTTAGGTCTTAATAGAGCGGTTTATCTTTGACTTAAACCAGATAGCTGGATTCCAGGTGCTAGGAGATTGGCCTCAACCATTAATATTCTCAACTTCACTTTGAGGTCAAAATAGAAAAATTTTGTTTTGGTTTTGCATGCCCCTGCTATAAGATTTTCATGACCTTTTTCATTTGTTGAGGTAAAATGATCTAGCTTTCTGTTTGACATTAGATCATTTAGTTTTGATATTCTCTGGCTTGCCGCCATTTGTGCTGAATTTTTATTCTCTAAGTATTAGGCATTTCTTTCTGGGCTCTGACATAAGTATTAGAGTTTTGGCCTTAGGGTTTAGGGATTTCTTCTTCTCTTCATTCATTCTCCCTGTGGTTGTATTAACAATTCACATCTTGGATTGCTTGTAGACAACACATGTTGCTGCACAATATGGCCAGACTGCTTTTCTTTGTCACATTGTGTCAAAGTGGAA